CCCCCACCCAATAATTTTCATCATAGTTTTTCACAATACGTATTATAGTATTGTAGTTGATAGTTATAATAAAGGCACTGCTGCACTTTGTGGTAGTAGACATCTCAGCAACCCAGCGTGAGAACATCATCTGTCAGAATCGTACCTACCTCTACACTAAGTGGTGATGTGATACTGCGTTTGGAACTCTCGGAATCACTTTTATTTTCTTTTATATGAGTGACACGGATGGTATTCTCGGCAAGATCGTCTTCCATTACTGCTGCAGCTACATTTGTTCCACGTGGTGATCCTGTTGTCTTGGATGTTTTGTTTTCATTTGATGGTGAAACGGGAGAATCGTCAGTCTGATGAATGGATTGGTCTGATTTATCAGTTGGCTCAACTTCGCAAGATTTTGCTTCAGTTGTTCTGAAATCAAAACACGAAAATATCACTCAAACTTGAAGCACTCTTCTCATTTGAAACAGGAGTTTTCGCATTAGAAAACGGAGTTCTGGCATTTAAAAAAGGAGTTTTCGCTTTTGAAAAGGGAGTTTTGGCATTAGAAAGCGGAGTTCTGGCATTTGAAAAGGGAGTTTTGGCTTTAGAGAACGGAGTTCTGCCATTAGAAAAAAGGAGTTCTGCCATTAGAAAACGGAGTTCTGGCATTTGAAAAGGGAGTTTTGGCATTTGAAAAGGGAGTTTTGGCATTTGAAAAGGGAGTTTTGGCATTTGAAAAGAGAGTTTTGGCATTTGAAAAGAGAGTTCTGGCATTAGAAAGCGGAGTTCTGGCATTTGAAAACGGAGTTCTGGCATTTGAAAAGGGAGTTTTCGCATTGGAAAACAGAGTTCTGGTATTTGAAAAGGGAGTTTTCGCATTTCAAACCCTGTTATATTGTAAATCATTAAAACTTTGCATAGCATGATATGTTGCTAAGGCTAGCTTCACCACTGCCAACAGACCTGGTTTACTTACACTTCAGTCTCAGGATGTTTAGCTTCTTGCAACATTTCAGTCTTGGGACGTTCAGTCTCTTGTGACATTTCAATCTTGGGACGTTTAGTCTCTTGTGAGACTTCAATCTTGGGACGTTTAGACTCTTGTGAGACTTCAATCTTGGGACGTTTAGACTCTTGTGACATCTCACTATCACGTCTCTGTCGTTTCCGTGACAACTCAGTCGTGTCTTGCGACCTTACATCTGATTTCTCAATCTCATCATTCTTCTCTTCCCCGCCCTGTTCGTTCATTCCTTCTGCTTGTTCAGTTGTTTCACTGGATGGAGGCGAAAGCATGGACATATCTTTCCCACTTCGTCTGCGTGCCCTCGAAGCACGGTCTTGTGCTAGTTTTGCTCTGCGTCCGGGTTTAGAGACTGAACTTGACACTGGCTTCTTTTGCTAAACAATTTAATACAAGATTTATTTATTTTTTAGGCTAGTATTCCAAAGGTGGTAGGTTCGATTCCCACCGTGGTCAGGCATATTTTTCAAGCTTGCCTGGTGTGGATATACACTCAGAGTAACATCATAAGCATCATAATTTACAATATGAAAATATTTTTTTGAAAATAATAATACTTTGGTGTGTTTGCTAGTCTTGTCTGTATGCATATTACATATATTAGTCAGTTCACTACTGTCTGTCTGTCTGTCTGTCTGTCTGTCTGTCTGTCTGTCTGTCTGTCTGTCTGTCTGTCTGTCTGTCTGTCTGTCTGTCTGTCTGTCTGTCTGTCTGTCTGTCATTTTTTCTCTACATTTCTCACCTTAGTTGCTGTATCTTGATCTCGTATTTTACTTTGATGTATTATTTTTTGAAATCCATCATCATACTCAACTTCATAAAAATCTAAATTTTTTTAAAAACATAATCCAAATTAGGCCCTAGTTTTTCTGAAAGCATATGATGACTGTTTTATAATAGTTTCTTTTACATCGAATCATCATATCATCATTTTTTTTAGATCATATATTATAACATGTTAATTTGCACAATATAAATATTAAATATTATTATTATCAACTTAACAATAAACTTGATTTTATGACTTGGTAAATTTTACAAACTATTTGTATTCTGTTACCTTTTGAAATAACTTTAACAATCTTGGCAGGATAAAATGTTCCATCTGACCATTTTGCAGATACCATGTCACCCTCCTTCCATTGCTGCTTAGAAACGAATAAATGACACCCAATAAAATATGAACATCTTTTCACACAGTCATATAGATGTCAACTAAACAGACTTTATTTTCACCGGATAGCTCTATTACGTCCAAGCTAATCTCCCTAGGGATTCATCTCACTAGAAAAAGGTGTTTTAGTACCAAAACATCCAGAATTCAACCACATTTCATTCCAGTTATAAACTATTTAAAACATGAGTAGGAGTGTTTTATCAGATATAAAATGCGAGGCATAGCCAAGTGTTTTATATCTGATACAAGACATTAAAATATGACTACAAAAGATGCAGTCTCTATTTATTTATTTATATAAGGATACTAATTAGGATGAATAATTATATGACACATGTGTTTTATCAGATATAAAGTCACTCCATGTGACATATTATGGCCGATATGATTTGCCACAAGGTTTATGAATTATTAATGAGTATTTTAATTCAGTATAATTTCTCACACGCCATTCACATGTCACCATTTTCACAATGTTGATTCACAACATTAACATTTTAAGAAGTGGCAAAGTGCCTTACTTTATTATTTTACTCTGTCGAATGCCAGACAATTTCACCCATCAAGGGGAGCAGTGCTACTCATTGTGTTAAGAATGTAGTTAATTATATTCCTGAGTGTTTTGACAGGAAAACACGACACGTTTTTTCAAGCAAAATGAAGAGTCTGCAGTTTTGGTAATACCTTAAATTCTTTGGCTTTACTTGTAGACTTCAATTTCTCTTTGGGCAAAGCTCGTATTTTCTTACTATCAAACGAGACCCACTCGTCATACCGAGAGTTCCATCCTTCAAAATGAATCAAGATTTTCTTCTTTTTGCTGTCAACCTTCGCAATCTTTGATACATACCTGATGTAAAATACAATTTTGTGTTATATAATTTTGAACTGTCTGGGTAGTGCCAATTATGTGTTATTTTCCGCTGGCTGAGGCACGAAAGAAACGGAAAATGTTTTCTCAAACACTGCTGGGGGCCTGATGAAATCAGGGTGTTACAGGGTGGGCAGGTTAGTTGAGCATATTTTTGTTGTTGCTCAACGTAGCTCGACAGTATCCCACTCACCCAGCCCTTTTATGTTTATTAGTAGAGAGTAGAGGAACATAACGGTTTTGGACTGGGTATATGTACTTGTTATAGTAATTATGTAGCGAGCAATTGTAATGTATGTTAGTTTAACGGCAGAGTATCCGAGTTTGGAGGTAGGTGCCGTTGGTGGCCAAAGCTAGTCGGCGACCTAGCCTTGTCGGGCAAATGACCGCAATGGCAAACATTGGGCAAAACACTGGCAAACATTTATGGCAAACTGGCAAACAGCAATGGCAAACAGCTATGGCAAAACAGCAAAAAACGTAATAATAAGGCTAATTATAGTAGCAATAGGAGTTTGCCATGACAATTCTGCCAAGGCAGACCTCCGGCACCTGTCACACTGATGATCAGTGGAAAAAAGGACGCATTCTATAGTGGTCTATAGATTGTATCCTATAAAGAAAAACAAATAAAAAAAACCCCAAAACAACCAAACAAGACAACAAAAAACAAAGCTAAAACGAAAATAACGAACTTAACCAGAGTATCAACAAACATTAACCAGGGTGGGGGCGAAGGGTAACAGAGAGAAAGAGCAGTTGTTGCTAGCTAGCCAAGCTGTAGCAAAGTGACGGATGTGCGATAATTGAAAGCTAAAGGCTAAA